CAAGACTGTAGACATGCTTGGTAAAATAGAATGTAGAAAATGGTCACAGCAAAGATGACTTGTCTGGCCATTTGGTACATTACTGAAACCACATGGGGTCAGTCAGATGATTTAATTAGTTTTCATTTTAATTGTTAAATGCATGACTGTGTGGGCTTCCTTGTCTGCACCACTCATGTGTAGGTGCCCATGGGGGCCAGAATGGGACATCTAATCCCCTGGAACAGGAGTTACAAGCAGGTGAAAGCCACCATGTGGGTGCTGGGAGCTGCACCCTGGTCTTCTGCAAGAGCAGCAGGTGATCTCGACCACTGAGCCCTATCTGCAGCCCTGCAACCAGATTGTTTGAACATTTACAGAACTGTCACTACATCTGCACAATCTACATAATTATGAAACAATTTTATATTATTAAAAGCTTCCGTAGCTGCTTTGTCATCCAGTTAACTAGACTACTAGGGGAAAACAAAAACAAAAAGCAAAACGGGAGAAACCGGCATAGAACTGCCCTGCACGAGGAGGACAGAACTGTGCTCATACTGAACTCCCAACCCCTTTTTGTAGTAGATTCTATGCAGGCTCCTGTTCAGTTCTGGCGCCTTCCCGCTGGGCAGAGCCACTGATGAGAAAGTGTTCCCACAGGTAGAGACCATTGGTGATGCCTATGTGGTGGCCAGCGGTTTGCCTATGAGAAATGGCAACCGACATGCAGTAGACATTTCCAAGATGGCCCTGGAGATCCTCAGCTTCATGGGGACCTTCGAGTTGGAGCATCTCCCTGGCCTCCCAGTGTGGATTCGCATTGGAGTTCATTCAGGTGAGGAGTTGGGTGTCCTAGAAAGTGGGGATCATTCACAGTAGAACACACAAGAGCATCTTCTTAAATTCTGCATGCCAAATGTGGGGTTCATTACACACATCCTGACACATTTAGACCCAGTCCCCAGAGAACACTTGAAATAATACCATGGATAGCACTGTCGATTGCTGGATATATAAATATTGACCACCCCAGAAAACAAGAAGTTCTGGATTTCCCATTTAAATCATAACATCTGCTGTCTGACTTATCACCTCCCCACACAGAGGCCCAGATCCTATTCATATCCCAATAAAATACTACAGCACTAGGGCTGGAGAGATGCCTCAATAGTTAAGAGAGTATACTCACGCCGGGCGTTGGTGGCTGCATGCCTTTAATCCCAGCACTCAGGAGATTGATCTCTGTGAGTTCGAGGCCAGCCTGGTCTACAGAGCTAGTTCCAGGACAACCTCCAAAACAATAAAGAGAAACCCTGTCTCGAAAGAGAGAAAGAGAGAGAGAGAGAGAGAGAGAGAGAGAGAGAGAGAGAGAGAGAGAGAGAGAGAGAGAGAGAGAGAGAGAGAGAGAGAGAGAACTCACTTGTAGAGGACCTGGGTGTAGTTCCCGGAAGCCATGCTGGCCAGGTTACACCCAACCATAACTCCAGCCCCAAGAGATCTGATGCCCTCTTTCTAGCCTTCTCCACCACCTGCATTCATGTGCACCTACCCACACCCAAATGCACACATGCATGCCAATGAAAAGCAAAATCTTTTTTATGAAATATATAATTCAGAGAAAAATGGCTGGTCAGATTCCTCCAACGTTTACGACTATTCCACCCAGCACTACAGAGAAACATGCGGGTCACATGGAGGACCATGGGAGTGTGATAACCCCAATGAAAGGGGAACCAAGACAAAGCTAATGAGTTTATTCAAGACGTTAACAATTCACAAATTGTGTCCTGAGACACAGCTTGTCCAACAACAGCATGCAATGTGGACAGACAGAACAGAGTGAGGCTGGTGGCCTGGTACCTGCTTGGAATCCTAGCACCACAAGGCCAAGTCAGGAGAATCTCACATCTGAAAGCATGAGGGACCGGGGGGGTCCGAGGTGAGAGGCAGAAAACATCTGATTGGTTAAAGTTCTGAGTTACCAATATCTGAGCATCTGATTGGTTAAAGCTCTACATTATCATCATTTGATCAGTCACCAGTCTATATGACTCACTGGAGCTTAGGGGCTGTGACTGCGTGTGTATAAGTTAGGCTTTTCATTTAGGCAGCAAGTAAGGATATCGTTTGTTACATGGAGATTCAGGGTAGCAAGCTGCCTTGGGCCTCCAGTTTAATTTATAGCTTTGAACATAGAAACGTGAGAAGGTAAGTAACCAGTCTTGTAGAGTCACGTGGTTGGAGGGGAACTCATACCCAACCCCAGTGTCCAACAACAGAGGAATGGGAAAAAAACATGTGGCATGTAAACACAGTGGAGTGTTTAATCAATCATAAAGGAAAAGAAAATTACATTGTAGGGAAACGAATTTACATCATTTAGGGGAAAATGGATACAGCTGGACATAATCATCGTAACTAAACAAATTAAGCTAGTATCAAAAGCCAAAGGCCACGTTTCTCTCGTATGTAGTCCCTAGACTATGTACATATGTAAAGCTGTGTACCTGTACGAACATGAGAGAAGGAGACTGCCTAGAGGGACAAAAGGGACTCATGAGGGAGAACAGGAGAAGGGAGGCTGGCGGTGGGTAAGGGAAGATGATCATGAGCAGTGAGCATGTAGCTATGGAAACTGTGTAACACAGCACCATGTACCATAACATGCAAGACGAAATGGTTTTAGGTCATCCTCACTCATGTTTTGCATGACACATTGTCTTGCTTTTCACACATGCACATGTGCAAGCACACACACATGCAAACACACATACACATGTAAGTCTTCTTCTCTATTCCATCTCTCCTGTGTTTTTGTTAGGGGCTTGTCTGTTTTTGCTTTGTATCAAATCTTATAGCGTAGGGCTCAAGACTCAAGGTAAATTCCAGTATTCTGAACTGGTTTTGGTTTGTTTTGGTCTTCACTGGCAGGATAAATGTACAAAGAGACTCTTGTGCTTTAGGATTTTTAAGTTGCGTGCATGTTTGTAAGTGTCTGTGCACATGAGTGCAAGCAGCTGTGGGTGCTAGAAGAAAGTGCCAGATGCCATGGAGCTGGAGTTGCAGGCAGTTTGTAAACCTCCAAACTTAGAGTCTGGAACCCCACTCAGGTCCCCCCTCTCTGAGAGCAGTGCACATTCAGTCATAATCACAGTGCTCAGGAGGCAGTGGATCTCTGTAAGTCTGAGCTACCCTGGTCTACACAGTGAGTTCCAAGACAGCCAGAATGATGTAGTGAGACCTCTTCTCATTTTGTAAAGCTAATCAGAAAGCCAGTAAGTCCCTCTAGTCCAGTGGTTCTCAACCTGCGGGCCATGATCCACTGGGGGAGAGCACCTGAGACCATCAGAAAGCACAAACATACACATTACAATTCATAACAGTAGAAAAATTGCAATTATGAAGGAGTGATAAAAATAGTGTTATGGTTGGGGTCACCACAACATGAGGCACAGTATTAAAGGTCTGCAGCATTAGGAAGGTTGAGAGCCACTGCTCTAGCTGGAAAGCCAGTCTTCAGTTTCCGTGTCCGTGTTTAGCTCTGCATCCAGTCATCCCCACTAACCCTGATGTGATGACCCTTCTTTCTAATTATCTTTTCCTGGGGGGCCGTGGACATCCACTCAGTGCAGATACCAGGGCGAGCACAGTGACGGCCAAGGAAGCACCGTCACCCACATCTAGCTTGGTTTGGGTGACCCCACATCACTCTAAAGTCCCAGGGATGATGACTCTCTGCAGCTGCATGGATGGTGTCCCTGCTTCAACTGATCTCCCACCTCATACATATATACTGTAGCATCTCCCTAGACCACATGCAACTGGAGCAGAACCACAGAACTGGGGAGGAAGACACAGGAGAGACAGAGGGACAAGGACAGAGGGACGGAGGGAGGGACAGAGGGGCTAGAATCTCAGATAAGGGTCCAAGGATTCTCCTATACAGGATGTCAGCAGCTGCTCCCATCAAGACTATGGCTGTGTAGGCTTAAGGAACCAAAGTCCACAATGCCCACCCATGATGACACAATACACACTCTTGTCTTGGTTTTTGTTCTGCACGTTAGAGCATCCTTGGGCCAGAGACTTAACCCAACAGCGTTTGTGTGGCCCAAAGTGCTTATGGAAGACTCTGCTAAGTCCTTCTGAGCATTCCATTATATGCTACCAATCCTAGAAATAAAACCATGAAACAAACATAGACATGGGCAACTGTGTCTTCCACTCTGTGGTTCTTTCTAGCAATCCAGAGTTCAGGGTTGTGTACTTCAGGACAGCGGGCAAGCTGTGGGGTCACCTGAGCACTTCCCAGAAGCCCTTGATTTTTAATTGTTGGCATTTTTGTGACCTGAACCTCTGAATGCCTTTGTGTTCAGTGAAAACATGTGTTCTTGGCTATAACCAAAACCTGAGAGTGTGCATTCCTTCATTAAAGGAACCACACATTGTTCAGCCACCTCTCCTGCCTTGAAGTATTCAGCCTCCTGACCTGATGTGAGAGAGACTCACCCATCCCAACTCCATTCTTCCATGTGCAATGACGCCTCCTCCTCCTTCCTTCCCTCCAGGCCCCTGTGCTGCTGGTGTTGTGGGCATCAAGATGCCGCGTTATTGCCTGTTTGGAGATACCGTCAATACCGCCTCTAGGATGGAGTCCACTGGCCTCCGTAAGAAGGGGGGTTGCTGTTTTCCAACAGAGATTCTGTCTTCCAGGAGACACGCTTGAAGAGCTCACTATGTAGTGCTTGAGATGCAAAGTGTCAGCAACAGCAACAGACCCCTCACAAGGGCTAGACTTGAGCCTGTGTTAACAGGATTGCCACGTTTGATTTTGTTATATTTACTGCTGGTTGTTTTAGCCTTTGTTTTCTTTCTTCAGTTTTAGACTGTCCCTGTGTTTTTGGTTCATGTGCAGTGAATTCGGGCATGTTCTAGCTGGAACAGTCATGAACTTTAGCACAGATCCACGGAACTGTGTGGTATCCAGTAGGAAAGATATAGACCAATCACACCGTGGCTCGAGTTCATCTTGCCTGTTTATTTGGTTTTTTTTGGAAACCGATTTTAGCAGAGACAAAGTGTCTAGGAATTTGTTACTGCACGAAGGTTCCAGGTTCCTTTCGATTGGATCAGTCTTCTACAGTTTACAAGGCATGTGTCTGGCAAAACTGAAGAACCATGCACTACATACAATAGATGCTCGATCAATATTAATGGTAATGATGAGAATAAAAATGTGTGTTACAGGGAAGAAAAGCTGTGGTAGATTATCGTAAGAGCTGAGAAAAACAGGGCCCAGGACAAGATTTTGGTAGTTAGACTGCCAATCTGTTCTTAGCATGTGCAACGAAATCAAATTATCAAGACAAGAATGAGGTGAAAGTCAAACAGACTTAGACTAAATAGAAACTGTCTTAGCCATCACCTGCATGTGTTAGGGTCAGTTACTCCATCACTCAAGGTCCCAGGAAGATGAACACAGAGGATGACGTGCTAATCTTGTCAGGAGGGTTTCTGGACAGGACTCGGGTGATGCAGTTGTCTGGTCCATGGAGGGCGTCCCCTGTTCTGACCACCATAGTATCTATTGGAATGGCTGTTGAGCACACCACCAGCCTTGGGTGGGACACCTCATCACTTGTTTTTCAGAAGGATAATGGTGCTGCTCAAAAGGAAAGTTTGAGAAAGCCCAGAGCCCAACTCTTCCCCTTGTTCTCAGCACCTTAGCTGTTTACTGGGCTTTAAACTGCAGACCGCTCAGCCAAAGCCCGAGCCCAGGCTCGGCATGAGAAGCCCCATCCAAAGCCAGGTTCAGAGTTCCCACTGTGAGCTGGAAAGAGACTCAGTGGACAGAACTCAGGAGTGACAAAATCCCCAGAAACACAGTGCCAGACCCTTCTGCCTACGTGGGTGGTATTTTCTCCTCTCACCGACACTGTTTTTACAGTTCCATTCACCAAAATAGCCATATATGCTTCTCCACGATGGAGAATAGGTGCTTAGCGTGTTACTGACACCTAGAATCGGAGAGAAACAAGCGTGGCCATATTGGGTTCCCACATGGGGAGATTCTCACCAACCTGGTTTGTGTTTCCAGCCTTGAGGATCCACATGAGCAGCTCCACGATTGCCATCCTGAAGAGAACGGATTGCCAGTTCCTGTATGAAGTGAGAGGGGAAACGTACTTAAAGGTAAGGAGGCTGCAGTCGTGTGAGCACTCAGACACGTGTGGACCACGTGTGAGCAGTCGTGTGAGCAAGCACTCAGACACGTGTGGGCCACGTGTGGCCCTCCACCAAGGAAGTTAGAAAAGACAAAGCTGGAGAGCCCTTCCCATCCCCCCTGCAGGGAGGTCCCTAGCACCATCCTCACTGGAGAGAGAGCATCCACCCAGACGTGTGGACCCAGAACTTAGCATCATCCTCACTAGAGAAAGAGCATCCACCCACCCGTGTGAACCCAGAGCTGCTCTGTGCTCCAGCAAGCCCTTTAGATATTCTGTGCTGTGACCAGTATGCTATGAAGCATTGCTGCCAGGCTGGAGAGGTGGCTCAGAGGTTAAAAGCACTGGCTGCTCTTGCAGAGGAAACAGGTTCAATTCCCAGCACCCAGGTCACCGTCTGTAACTCCAGTTCTAAGGGATCTGATGCCCTCTCTCGATCTCCACAGGTACTGCACACACACGGTGTGCGTACATACATGCGGGCAAAACACTCGTACACATAAAGTAAAATAAATCTAAAAATAATAAAAAATAAGACAACACCAACGACAAGAACAAACCACTCCCCCCATTCCTTCCACACATACGCACGGTCTGTCCCCAGTTCCTCCTCCCGACCCAAGAACCCAAACCAGTCAGGAGTTACTGAAGTCAAAAACCCTGTCCGCTCACCTTTGAATAAAGCTTTCTCGACAGTTGCTTTTATCATTCTGAAGCTCAGGACCATTGGCTACCAAGATGTGGGCCCATACTCCTCCCCGCTGAGTCCCTGTTAAACTGCAGGAGTCCAGACTCCTTGCTGGTCTCATGGGACTCTGAGCAGACAGACAGGCACCCATAGTTTGAACAAGCATTCTGATGTTTGGACACGTAGATGTTTGACGATCAAGGATATAGTCTCACTTTTTCTCTCGTGTGTGTGTGTTGGATGCATGTGCTTATGTGAGGGTACACCTGCATGTGTGTACACTTGCAGTGGAGAGACCTGAAGTTGATGTCGGGTCTCTCCCTTGTTCTTCAAAGCAGAGTCCCTCATTCAGGTCTGAAGATGACTGATACGGCTCCTCTAGACAGCTGGCCTGGCCAGGGCTTCTCTGTCTGTCTTCTGAGGCTGGAGCTATGGGTAGGGTGGACACCCACCCAGCATTCATGTGGGTTTTGGGGTTCAGAGCCTGGTCCTCTTGCCAGTATGACCAGCACTTTAACTACTCAGTCACCTCCCCCACCTTTGTCCTCACTGTTAACACAGCTGCCCCGTGATGCTCTTTAAAAATTATCAGAATCTTTTGACAATTGGTCTGAGGCCAGCAACTGACCAGGCATTATGGTTTTGTCTCTAGGACCCTCAAATTCTGTGGCATGTATATTGGAAAATGTGACCTTTTATGTAAAATTGTCTAAGAGCACACTCAGTTTCTTGTGAGTCTCCCACAAGTACATTTACTAATCCGAGATTGTTTCCCTAAAATACTGTTTATGTTTGTTGGCACAGAACTGTGGGTGGATTTCTCCCTTTTTTTAAAAAGTGTATTTACGTGTGTGAGCCGTGTGTGTGCGTGCGTGCGTGTGTGTGCGTGTGTGTGTGTGCGCGTGCACGCGCACCAGAGGAGACCTCTGTGGAGTCTGTTGTCTCTCTTCCCACCTCTGTGCATGCCCAGGGATGGAATTTGGGCTGCCAGGCCTTCGTGGCCAGTGCCTTTAACACCCGAGCTATCTGTCCTGGTGCCCTCACCTTGTTTTCTGAGGCAGGGTCTCCCACTAAACCTGGGGCTCACTGATTTGACTAGACTGGCTGCTCAGTGAGCGTCAGGAACCCACCTGTCCTTGCCCCCAAAATGGGGGTTGCACCCCGCTTTGTACTGGGGTGCTGGTGATCTGAACTCGGGTCCCCACTCTTTCACAGCAGGAACTTTCCAAGTGAGCCCTCTCCTGGGGCCTGAATTTCTCTATTTTTAAGGTAGGGTTCTGAAAATATCGCTATAATGTAATCTGAAACACCTTCTGGGGGAAAGAAAACTCTATTTTAAAACAGCCAATGTGGCTGGGCATGGTGGCTCATGCCTGAAATCCGGATACTTGGATGTCTGACCCAGGAGACCTGCTGGGATTACACAATGAGCTCCAGACCTGCCGGAACCATGCAGTGAGACCTTGTCTCCAAATAAATAAGTTAGCTGATTAATTAATAATAAGTTTAAAAAACAAACAGAGAGGGGCGGGAGAAGAAAAAGTAAAAAGGCCAGCCTGGTGGAAGACTTACTAAATTTTTCTAAATTTTAGGTGCCTGTGGTGTGCTTAAACACAGGCACTGATGGGCAGTGTGGGGTGGTGGCCTCTTGGAACAGATCATCGTTGGGGCGGTGGGTGAGAGCAGCGCCTTCATGGGACCTTCTTTTGTCTCATAGGGAAGAGGGACAGAGACCACATACTGGCTGACTGGGATGAAGGACCAAGAGTATAACCTGCCAACCCCACCTACTGTGTAAGCTTCTGGGTGTCAGGGAGGGAGCGGAGCCGGAAGCCCTGGGTTTGTGGACACACTGTACTAACTGGCGGAACTCACCCTGACAAGTGCTTAGGGACATGAGAAAGTCTAGAATGGTCCCTTCCCCAGCTGCTGAACTGGGGTGTCCAGAATGCAGTGTCTTCCTGACACTCAGTGACCTAGAATGCCCCTATCTTCCTGACACTCAGTGACCAGGAAGCACCACCTCTGTCGCTCTGCAGTGCTAGGTTTCTCTCATAAGCCAGATGTGTGTTCACACCGGGCTGCTCCTGTCCCCTTGTCCCAGGGACGCTCCAGCTGGGAAAGGGACAGAGGCCACTCTAGAACTGGAAAAGATTCTGTTCTTACTTCATTGATTTTAATTTCATTTTGTGTCACTGGGTTTCCTTCTGTCCTCCTTGTGCCAAGGATGTAGCTGCAAGGCGATAGATTGGTAGATGAAGTAGAGTTCACACACACACACACACACACATACACACACGCACACACACATACACACTCAGCACACAAACTACATACACACATTATACACACACATACACACACATACACACTCAGCACACAAACTACACACACACATTATACACACACATACACACACGCGCGCGTGCACGCGCGCACACACACACACGGAGATACAGACTGAGACATCTCTCAGTCCTGTCTCAGTCTCTCAAATGCTGGTTCTCCAGGCACCTGCCACCATGCCTCACCCAGATACATTTTAAACAGCGTATCTCAATTAAAATCTCCTTAATTTGCCAGGTGTGGTGGCACATACTTTTAATCCGAGCACTCAGGAGGCAGAGGCAAGCAGGTCTCTGTGAGTCTGAGGACAGTCTAATCTGCACAGACACTGTCTCAAAAACAAAGTGGGGCGCGGGGCTGCTGGAGAGATGGCTCAGTGATCAGGACTGAATTCAGTTCCCATCACTGCACTGATTGTGTAACTCTAGTCCAAGGGGATATGATGCCCTCCTCTGGACTCTATGGGCACTGCAATAGTGCCACCCCACCCCCACCCACACATAATTAAAAATAAAACAAATCTTGGAGCTGGAGAGATTACTTAGCAATTAAGAATACTTGCTTCTCTTCCAATGGATCTGAATTTGTTCCCCAACACCCACATCAGGTTATATGGGATATAATCTCCAAGGGATCTGATACTTTATTCCTGGCTTCCACAGACACCCACACACATGTGGCATACATTCACACAGACACAGAAACACACATAAATAAAAATAATGAAAATGCATTCCTTTCACTTGCTGAAAAGCTGGTTAAATTCTGCTCATGAAGAAAGCTATGGTTGTGTTCCTAGCTTCTTCAGGAGAGCATAAGGCAGCTTGGACCTCACTTCATGCCTATTTGCTTCTTAGAAGGAACAGAGAGATGGCTCAGAAGTTAAGAGCCCTAGTTGCTCTTTCAGAGGTCCTGAGTCAAGAGGACCCAGGTTTGGTTCCCAGCACCCACATGGCAGCTCACAACCGTTAGTATCTCCAGTTCCAGACACCCTCTTCTGGCCACCTGGGCACCAGGCACACATGGTACAAGACACACAGGCAGACAAAGCACCCATACACAATAAACAAACAACAATAGGAAGGATAGAAGATTCTGGAAGCAGAGAGGCACTATACATTCCCACTCCTGCCTCCTCCTGTGTGTTGGTGTCCCTACAGAGGATGCCACCAGCCTCGCCTAAAGTCATGGTTCTGGGACTTAACATGGAGCCTGCACTCTCCCTAGATAGGAGGAAGATGTCACATCTACCTAGCAGGTTTCAGTTCTGACGGTGACTCAAGTTGTCCTGCTCCATTGGCAAGCCTCCTGCCTTCAGCTCTGTTGCTGCTGTGTGTAGAGAGCTGTTGGAGGAGCTCGATACGGTTGTCTTGATTGCTTTGGCTGGAGAGACCCTATTGTTCAGAGACCTAGAGGCCAGACAGACAGACGATATAAGCACCAGACAGAAGACAAGACACCAGAGATGTCGAGTCAACCTGGGAAGCCTGACTTCAAACCAGGACTGACCAGATCTTTCCTAAACTTTGGAAGCCTGCTGCCATCATTAGCCTTCTCCAATCCCCACACTCACAGCTACGTGGGGAACCAGGGTGTTTCCAGGGCCGTGTGGCAGAGTCCTGATCTCCCCTCGTTTCTCTCCCCGGATCTCAGTAGACCCTTCACCATGTGCCCCAGTTCTAGCAACGTGTTTCGTCCATTTCCTGCCTGCGACGTATTACACTGACGCACAGCAGGAAGCCAGTTCTGTGCAGTCATTGAAGCGGGGCGGGATTTCGTACTCCGTGCATTCCCTGTGTGTAGCACAGAATAGGCATCCACTACTTCGGGTCTGAAGCTAAGGAACATTCCATGTGGATAGATAACAACGTTTTCTCTCCCCCCCACACTTTCCAGGGAGAACCAA